CACCGCCGGTTGCATCCTTTCGAACTTTGCATAGTTCTCAGGTCTAAAGATTTCACAACAGCTCCATAGAACTAGTGAGTTGGTCCGGTTCAACCTGATTTCTGCAGAACCGAAAAGAGGTGAAGAACCAAACCAAACTTCTATACGCTTTTGTTGTTGGAAATGGAACTGGACAGTTCAGTGAAACATGGGTCAAGCCAAGTACTTAAAATCTGTATTTCAATCTCTTGGTTAAATTTAGTTCTGTTTAACCAAGGTTGGATTCACAACAATGGTTGAAAATAAAAGCAAGTTACGTGCCTAAGATTAACCTGAAGAAACAGGATCAAGAACCTTAAATGATTCCGGAAGTCCTAAACGTACCAATATTTCGACTTATTAGTCTACATAAACCAAGTAATTGTCATGGGATTCCTCTCCTCAAGGCTTGGAGGCACATGAGAAAACATGTGACTTGAAGTTCTCTAGCTCTGTCAGTAATTTATCAACCGGTCTGTAAATCAAGTCACTCATCCGCCATATCTGCAAAATTGTAAACAATAACAAAGTGTTCATTTTTACCGAGAAAATTAATCGTGGATAGGTTTCCAAGTAAATGCAGCAAGAAAGTTATGAGTACCTGCAATGTACCACCCCCACCGTCACTCTCACGGTTATCAGACACACTGACAATAGTCCAAGGGTCCAATGCGTTCCAGTGGAAGTCGACCACTTTGTCCCTAAGAAGACATACACAGGAAAATTATAGATTCCATTGAAGAAAGTAAGAAGAAAAAGCAAACAAGAGAAATAGGATTAAGTATTAAGAACCTGTGACCAGCATGCTGGAAGAAAAGTCCAGGTGCACTCTTTGAGTTCTTTCCGACCTAATATGTACATATATGAATATGATGGAGTTGAGAGTAAGAGAAAAAAAAAAATTCAATGTGAATCTGAAAAATGTACAAACCCTATCATAATCCCATATGCTCAAGAGACCATCTTCTGCAGAACTCCCAAAAACAGATGATTTATCAGGAGACCACTGAATTGATAACAAAGCGGAGTCATTAAATAGGTATGCTCATTTACAGGACAAGTGATATAAAAATAAAACCGAGGTAGTGGCATGTTGTTGAAACCTGAACAGAAAGAACAGCAGCTTTGTGGCCTTCAAACTTGTAAATAGGAGAACCAACTCCATTTGAGGTCAGTTTTCGGCGGTCAAACAAACAGACAGTGTTATCTGCTGACCTGGAAATATGCTTAAAAGCGTGAGAAAACGAGTAGCAACTCTGTACTTTTGGACAAGTGCTTAAGTATGTAAAAAGTACCCTGTGAGGATCAGATTGTTGTCATGATGATTCCAATCGACACAGTGAATATCAGCATCATGTGCCTTCTCAACCTGCCAGAACACAACACGAAACAGACGGAAACTGAAACAAGACCACAAGATCGAACATCAAACTTTGATATGGTTCAAGAGATAGGTACCTTCACAGCAGGACCTGTGGCAGTTCGCGCATCCCATAGTATAAGGCAAGAATCGTCACCAACACTGCAGAATTCCTGTGCACTACAGAACAAACAAGAATTCACCAAAAGCTTCAGAAAATTCCGAGTAGTTCTGCATTTGCGTGTAAAATTAAGAGCCTAAAAATCAAAGAAAGAAGCTGTTTTAAGAAGTTACCTAGATGGACAGAATGCCACATCTTCAACTGTATCTTCGTGGCCATGATATACACCTCGAGGGCCAACGGAAGGAACAGTTTTATTACTACCTTCACCAGTCTGTTTGATGCTAGATCCAGGGGATTTGGAATCTGTACCAGCTGTTGTAATATGGTCTTGGATACTCCACAAAACAACCGACTTGTCCTTGCCTGCGCAAAATAACCTTTGATAATAAACTTGCAAACCACAAGATAGGACAAAACAAATAGCACGGTACAAACCTCCTGAAAGAACAAAAGGTTCGGTTCGGAACATTGCAAGAGCAAATTCAGCATTATCCTGGTGTCCAGTTAGTGCCTACAAATTAATGTTTTAAGATGATGATGCACAAGCGGTGTTTTAACACAGTGTGACAACATGATGAAAATTATCATAAGCGAGCATACCAAATCAGGACGAGAATGTGGGGCTCCAAACACAGCATGCCGATCTGGTTGAGTCTCAGTGTCCCAAATGAGAACCTGAAAACCAATATATACTAGATGAAGCGAAATGAAATCAATTTTAATTTTCAGGCTGAGTGACCTGAGAGAGCAGAGCTTACATCAGGACCGTCGGTGTGAGTAGCTACAATCTTACTATTTTGTGGCAGTTCCCTGATTCTGTTGACCTGCGATTAATGAAGGGTACACATCACAAAATCTTAACTAGTAATCAATTTCCTAAACGAATGCAGATTCAGTTTATGCATCAAATATATCTAAGAAAGGACAATGATACTACACGAATATCTCTAGAAGGGGTGGAATTCACACCTCTCCAGGGTGGATGATGGTCTTGAATTTCTTCACAAATGGAGAGCACGCTTCTTCTTTAGACTGAAAGCATATACAGACACGGTATTTCAAGAATTTCATCGTAGCAAAATGTAACACAAAGACAAAATCATAAGCTATGGTAGAAAACACTAACTACCTGTCTCTTAACAGCTTCGCAATTGGCTATGACCAAGGTATTAGGCACACTGCCATCAGTCTAGTGACAAAACCAAGAAAAAAGTAAACATGACGAGGACGAGACAAAAATTTAATAGTTGAAGCGATATTTTTTTCCTCAAGACTGAATGTATAAACTACCAAGAAAAAAAAACGCAAACTCACTTGTTCCGAGAGATAGAGACGTTGTTGATTCACAGAAGCTTGCTCCAGCTGTGGCCCCCATCTGTTCAAATCAAACAACAATTACAACAAATCGAACCTCTGTAGAAAAAAGCTACACGCTTCACCAAATCTTAAGCTTAATATCTGAAACCTGAAATGTCCTTAAAATCAGAAGTAGTCTATGAAAACTCGGAATCTTTTCTAGTGGAGAAAGTAACAAAACATAACACTATAACCAAGTAAAAAAAAGTGTAATCAACGACCACCAGATCATTCTCCTATCAAAAACAGGTTACAGAACTTTGTGAAAACTCGTAAATGGAAACATCAGACATCTTATGAACTGTAAGAGAGTCACCAAAGTCAAATCTTTCATATATCAAACATTAAAACACATGTAAGCATGGAGACTGAACTAAATCCTAAACTGTATAAACCCAAACTAGAAAATGTCATATTGTTAACAGAAAAACTCTCCATTTATCAGCTTTTTTACTAGTTTAAGTAAAAATGTGATTCAATCGCCTGACCAAAGCACAAGCTTGAATTTTCTTTTCACCAAAAATGACTCACTTTCTCCGACCAAAACACGAATCAATGAAAAATCGAAAACCCTAGAGCAGGACACAAAAAGAGAAACACAGACCTGCAAGAGAGAGAGGGCCAGACAAGGCTATGGTTTGAGAGCGAATCATAGAGAATGGGAACAAGAGTCTTCCACTGAGAGTACTTCTCGTCAACGGTGGGTCTGTGATTCTTCTTCTTCTTCTCCGTGCTTTTCTGCTGTTGCAAAGATGGTGACTGAGACTCGTAGTTACTGTTAGGTTTCCGACTTCTCGTCTTCGGTCCAGTGGCCGTCGCCGGAGTCCCAGCTTCTTCTCTCGGCGTGGTGGCTTGAGCAGTCGCTGCTACTTCACTCTCCATTTTCTTCCTCCTTTTTGTTCCTTTCCTTTGTCGTTTTTTAATATTTATATATTCAAATTCTGTCCTTTTAATGCCACGTGGCGTATACTCAAAGGTGTACTTCGTTACGGGGAACACCGAAAGACTCGCATTATTTTCGTTATAAAGGTATCACTGTAAAAATAATATCTGTCAAAAAACAATGATAATTAATATTGTTGCTGTAATGTATAAAACATGAAGCTTCTTCTAAATTTTGGAGTAGTATACAAACGTGAAGCTTCTTCTAAATTTTGGGATATTAAATAGGTGATTAACTTGACGACGCAGACGCTGTTCTAATAGAAGTCACATCCAAACTCCGTTTAGCGTTCAAAAGCACAAGGTAATTAAAGTCTCAACATTTATAATTCTAATTCACTTGAACAAAACAAAAAAGTCTTGTGTTTTTCTTTTCATTGAACTAGTTGGGAATAGAATTAAGGAAGAAGGATCAGACATAAACACCACTAGCAAGTAGCAAAAACAACGATCCAAAACCCTGCAATCAACCGAGAAACAAATTTCCAACACCAGCATTAGGTTCAAAACGACTATAAAAAGTTGGAGGACGAAGAAGAAAAGACAAAAGACATACCAAGAAAACAGATGCTACTGCTGCAGTCACAAGCTCCTTCACGAGGCTTCTGTTTTTCCTGGATGATGTAGCTTCATAGCTGCATCAGAAATGTTATGACAGGGTAAGTTAAAAAAAGGAAAAGAAAAACATTTTGATTACTCACTGAATCTAAACCTGAACTGCGAATTAGAGTCCTAAAATGAATGGTTCAAGTCTATCGTAAAGTTTCTGACTTGAACAGCTAACCCACATGCTCGTAGCCAAGACGACACAATACTTCAACAAAATCCTACAGCTTGCAATTCTTTTGAAAGGTTGAGGCTGCTTGATCAAATGAGAATTACACAAATCTAACATTCTAGTGTGTTAAACTGATGATCGTTCATCATGCCACATTCAGTGAAACTATAAAGTAGTGATTCCATAGACGATAAGGACTAATTGATGTGTTTAGACCTTTACATCATGACAGGATATAGAACTCACATATGTCCAAAATCTATTATTTTTTACCAGAAACTTTAGTATAGCAAAGGCACCCATAATTCAAGAAAAGAGTTTTAAGAGGGATAATTCATCTAACAAACAGATCGTCAAAGTTCTTCAGGACCTTTAGAAAGCAACCTAGAGACTAGCAATTGATAAGGCATTGTGAACAGAGACTACACATAAGCACTAACAATGTCGGTCAAGTTTCAAATACTGTGAACATGCAACTAGTGGAGATCCTTAACTTGATTCATAACTCATAGCCTAGTCATGACCAACAAACGAGATTGCTCCCGCAAGAACACAAGAAATTAATTCGAAAATCTAGCCAAGCTTTGGGAAAATCAAGAGGAGCCATAAGCATATCGAATCAATCGGGAACTATCTCACTGATCTACCAAACAAGCAAAATTACAGCAATGGAGGGATCTAGAAATCAGATCGCGTTTAGCTTACATGAAGAAGAAAGCGGTAATGACGAGGCCAATCGCTAGAGTGAATACCGACAAGGTCGGGTACATCGCCACCGGAATCGGACTCGCAATCGGTTTCGCCGCCTTCTCACCGGGAAAAACATAAAAATGAGGTAATCGTAAGTTAAAAAAGCAATCAAATTTGCAGTGATGGAGAATACTTCGAAGGATCTGGATTTACCATTTTTTGCTAGAGAGATTTCTCCGTTCTGCTTCGCTTCGATCTGAGGAACAATGAGAAGAATGCTCGCTCTAACAGACGACTGAGACGAGTCACGAGTGTCTCCCGGTGTGGACCGGTCCGGTTTACACAACTGCGGATAATTTATGGGCCCGTTTTGCTCATCGTGATTCGACTCAATAAGCCCAAGCCTACTTGGAAAGGCCGTTGGGTACAAAGTAAAAACTCTGTTCATAGCTTTTTACAATATTTTAGTTTCGTCGTAAAAAACTATTTAGACCGAATTATTGACGTAACAATATTAGATCGAATACAAAAAGAGTCTGCTTCGAATGGCATTGTACGCAACTGAATGACAAAAACTGGTTGCAAATCTAGGGTCAATTTGATTTTTAAAAATATCAATCAATATTGCGAAGTTATTATCGTTTATTTTGTTTTGTCATGATGAGTTACCATCTTTCGAATCGATGGGTTAGAATGAAAAAGTTGTTGTGATTAATTATCATTTCAAAATAATTTTAGCAAAAGTATTATATAAATCGTCTGATAGTTTTAACTTAAATGCCAAAATTGATTAATAAATAAACATTCCAGTGTGGCAGAGCCGCAGAGGCACACAAAAGTGTTCTTTGTATGGCGTCATGTAATCACGGGACGGTGAGTCGGTGATATCCTTCGTGTGCTTCACTCTCTAACAGAGAAGTGAAGTGAGTTGAAATATAAAAAGTCTATACTCATTCTTAATTAACCATCGACAGCTCAATAATAGGTATAGTTTGTGATTAAATCATCTACATATGCATAATTAAATGTCCGTCTCTCTTTGCATGTGATGCTTTGTGAAGACGAAATGGAGAAACTCAGAAAAGTGAGGTTCGAGGTGAAATAATTAAGCCTTTTGCTTTCTCACGCTACTTATGAGACGACAAATAAAAAAGGTTATGTGTTTCAGTTCCGTGCCGGTCCTATTGTTTATAATCGGATTATTGTATAATTATTATATGAACCTTTTTTTGTCAACCTTTTTATATTAACCTTTAACAAACATATAAATAGTCGGTTACTATGAAAAAACTTTCGAAAATTCCTTTACTCAATCAGCTAGCGACACAAAACACGGAATTTATTAAGAGAATTAGCCAATAAGAAAACGAAGCAAAAAATATCATATACTCCTTTTCATATGTGAACTTTTATGCATTAAAAACGTGATTTTCTTATTTTAATATCAAAGCATTTATGAAAAATTTATGTTTAAAAAAATATTTTGGTGCATATTATAGTATATATAATCATTTATACCGTTTTACGACTATTTTGTATGAAATTTTTTCAGTCAAATTATTTCCGTTTATGTGACATATATCAGTCAACTATAACTTTAATATGTATCTACTACGGCACATTACCCACAGATTTGTTATGGAAAATTTTGAAGTTACATTTATGAATTATGATTGGACCAACTTAAAAGAAAACAAAAAAAAACCATTAACTTGAAACACCAATTTGGGTGAAAAGAAGTGTTATCTATATACCGGCCCAGAAAGTCGGAGTTTGGTCGGTTTCCACAAATTTCAATTTTACGTAACTACGTTGTATGATTTAAGATCACATCTTAAAAGTCAAATGGAACTCTCAACTACACTAAAGTCAAACAGAATAGTAATTAATGTGTGTATCTCTACATATCATATTACAATCCATCTATGCAGTATTAATTAAAAGAAGAATGGAAAAATATAACCGGAGGGGGGGGGGGGGTGTTAGATTAATTGAACTGTTTCCGTAAACTATACTTTTAATTTGCTCATTGTGCCTACTTTTAGCCAAATTTAACAGAACATAATTAATTATTTAAGACAAAAGCTGAGAAAATATGAATATTCTCATGTTGTATCGTTCGTTATGAACTTTAATATCGCACACGTAAAATTATATATGTCCGACTAATTAAGTAATCTAATTATTCCAAGTCTTATAAATCCAACTTCTATATACAATCTCCTCTCAGTGGATCGAGACTTTGATTCACATTGATTGGATACACCCAATCTCTCCTATGAAAATCAGAAAACTGGGACTCTCTTTACGAAAAGTCAGATTCTGACCTACATTTTTATACAACTTCAACTTAAAAAAAAAAAAATAGTAAAGGGATACCTTGAAGTTTTTTGTTTTTGGAATAATTAGGGGTAATTTTAATTTGTACCATCCAACTAATTAAAGAATGTAGCCGTCAATTAATTATGTTATTTAATGAGCATAATTAAAATGTGATACTATTTCGAATGGTCAAATAAAAACAAAAATAAAGATAATTCTATTAGAAATTGAATCCATGCGGGAACGAGTTTATGTTGAATCTTACCATTAATTAGGTCACCACTTCGTTTATATTTCGAAGTTAATATAGTAAAATGTTTCTCTTTTCGCATATATATATATATATATATGGTGTTTAATTATATTTGAACAAAGAAAACTTTATACTATTTTCGGGGTCAACAAAACTTTTCTATCAACATCAACAAAATCACGTAAAGATATTCACGTGCCAATACGCAGTCTCTCTGTATGTGGTTTCTATATATGTCTCATATACTTCCTAACTAATCTCAACACTAATCCCATAATCAACAAGACAATAATAGTAATAATATAACTCATCATACGTCTCGTTTTCCCCTTCACCATAAGGATGACTACTAATCTCGGTTTAAACATAATCACCCTAGTGACGCTTTTGATAACTTTAACCCCAACCTTAATCAAATCAGAGGAGAGCATTAATGTCCTTTTACCCATTTCCCTAAACCTCACTGTCCTAACTGATCCCTTCTCCATCTCCGCCGCTTCTCAAGACTTCGGTAACATAACCGACGAAACCCCCGGAGCCGTGCTCTGCCCTTCCTCCTCCGTCGAGGTCTCCCGTCTCCTCCGCTTTGCGAGCGGAGAATTCTCTTACGGCGAGGACGCAACCGGCCCCTCGCCCGGTTTCAAGGTGGCGGCTCGCGGCCAAGGCCATTCCCTCCGTGGCCAAGCCTCAGCACCCGGCGGCATAGTCGTGAACATGACTTGTCTCGCCAAGGCGGCTAAACCGGCGGCGGTTGTTGTCTCCGCAGACGGAACTTATGCTGACGTGGCGGCCGGGACTATGTGGGTGGAGGTTCTTGAGACGGCGGTGGAGAGAGGCGTCTCGCCGGTTACTTGGACGGATTATTTGTATCTTAGCGTTGGAGGGACGTTGTCAAACGCTGGAATCGGCGGTCAGACTTTTAGACACGGCCCTCAGATTAGTAACGTTCATGAGCTGGACGTTATCACCGGTACGAAATTCCAAACTTCACTATTTTCTTTACATTCTTTATATGAATTTTATTTACGTTATTTTACTTTATTTTATGTTGTCAACTTACGTTATTTATATAGATGGCCTTTTTGGAAGCTGCAACTCTTTTTTTGTCTGCAAGCTACAATTGTAATAAGATCCGAGTTAAACTATCATGTGGGCAGACATATTTCTCATTTCTTAACAATAATAATAAATAATAATGCTATTTTTATGACTACAAATTTGATTCTTGAGGTAAACTCAGACGCCAAACCCAAGAATTAAAAAAAAAAAGAGGCAGTTCTTTGTTTTGGTTAGAAAGAAAGATCCTTATATTGTACTTATGTGACCTTGTGTTTAGTTATTTAATATGTGGACTCTGTCCTTTTCTTCATAATTCAATTTCAGGAAAAGGCGAAATGATGACTTGCTCTCCAAAGTTAAACACTGAATTGTTCTATGGAGTTTTGGGAGGATTGGGTCAATTTGGTATTATAACAAGAGCCAGAATTGCGTTGGATCATGCACCAAAAAGGGTATGTATTATTATATATCTTGATATTAAATCGTATATACTAAGATGGTGGTCGTAAATCTAAATTAGGTTAGATTTGGTTGGAACTTAATGGAAGTCAAAGTCCTAAGTTTTCAATTTCTTTGAATGAAAGTATACATTTGTTGAATAAATCTGATATTGCGTATTCATTATAAGATTCTGCATAATCAATCAATCCTAGGACTTGCTCGAGTGTAATCTTGTCTTATGCTTGCAAATCTTCTTGATGTCAATATATAATCTTGTTTAATTCTATTTAGTTTTCCACGTAAGTCTTATATATATAAAGAACTGCTTAATAATTAGTACGATAGTCTTTACTCTCTAAAAAAAATCATACAAGTTATGTCGTGTGCACTATTTTGCATTTATTCTCCTTCTTCTTAATTTTCTCATAATCATACTTTCTTATATATTGTTTGTTTTTCACAACAGTCACACAGAGTTATATCCAGAACTATTAAATGAAATAATACAAGATATAGTAATAAATATAATGGAAGTTTGTTCTCAAGTAATATACAAGATTGGTTCTCGCTATATCTTTAAAAGTTCTATACGAATTTATTTCTAAGACGAAAAACATTAAACTAGATGAACTAATGTTTTTATTCTTTGTTTGGTCACTTCTAAATGGAATAATTTATGGATATAAGTTGATAAAAAATCATGCAGGTGAAATGGTTACGGATACTCTACAATGACTTCTCGGATTTTACAAGAGATCAGGAGCGTTTAATATCAATGGTCAACGATATTCGAGTTGACTTTTTGGAAGGTCAACTGATGATGTCAAACGGCTTCGTAGACACCTCTTTTTTCCCACTCTCTGATCAAACAAGAGTCGCCTCTCTCGTGAATGACCACCGTATCATTTATGTTCTCGAAGTAGCCAAGTATTATGATACTACCACCCTTCCCATCATTAACCAGGTACTATGCAGTATATAAGATTGTACATAATCAATCAATCATCATATAGCTAATCTTGAAACACACGTAAATATATCACATGAATTTAAACGAATGAATGATTTTCATGCGCTATATATATAGTTTTTATAAATATACACAGCCATAAACGGCCTTCATCATCATGAAATCCACCGTCACCATATTTTATAATAACATATGCTTATTGAATATATCTCTTATATATTTTGTATTGTAGGTGATTGACATGTTAACTAGGACGCTAGGTTTCATTCCCGGGTTCATGTTCATGCGAGATGTTCCTTATTTTGATTTCTTGAACCGTGTCCGAAACGAAGAAGATAAACTAAGGTCTTTAGGGCTATGGGAAGTTCCTCATCCATGGCTTAACATCTTCGTCCCCAGATCTCGAATACAAGATTTTCATGATGGTATTATCAAAGGCCTTCTTCTCAACCAAACCTCAACTTCTGGTGTTACTCTCTTTTATCCCACAAACCGGAACAAGTATGTATTTTATATATATATATATATAATATATATACTTTCTAGGACTTTAGATATCATATTATGTCACAGTGATTATATGTTAACAATGATTATTCGGTATTAATAGATGGAACAACCGCATGTCAGCGATGATACCAGACGAAGATGTCTTTTATGTGATCGGATTATTGCATTCAGCTGGCGGATCACAAAATTGGGAAGAACTCGATAATCTCAATGATAAGATAATCCACTTCTGCGACACCTCGGGCATTAAGATTAAAGAATATTTGATGCATTACACTAGAAAAGAAGATTGGGTCCAGCATTTCGGACCAAAATGGGGTGACTTCTTAAGGAGGAAAATTATGTTTGATCCAAAAAAACTATTGTCTCCGGGACAAGACATTTTTAGTTAACTTATATATGTCTTAGTTAAACTTAGAACGTGTCTTTAACATGCCCCAAAGACGTATATATATGTTCATATATAGCCTAACTAATAAATACCTTTTTCCCTCTTAACTGGAATTAATGATCATGTCTTCAATCTTTTTCGCTGCCGTATGAAATGTTTGTTAGTAGTCAGTAAGTTATCGCTGCCGTATGAAATGTTTGTTAGTAGTCAGTAAGTTAACAAAGAAAAAGATATTGTTAAGAACGAACGAGTTATTTATTTATATTAATAACTTATGTGTATAAAACTAGGGGAAAATTAGTAACTAAATTTTGAGATATAAATTAAGCAAAAAAATGAAACGGCATGCATGTCGTAATGGGACACAGAAAACAGACTGCAAAGTTCTCTAAAGTATCTTTAAAACGACGTCGTTTTAGAATTACTGGATAGTACAAAGTTCTCTTCTTTAGCCAAACTTCATCCATGGCGCTGTGTCAATTCTCAGTGACTATCCACACTGTTTCCTCGTCAACATCTTCTTCCTTCCAATCTCTTCGTCCTCAGCCTTTGGTTTCCCATGTAAAGTCTAATTTTTGGATTCACAGACTCAGATTTCATAGCTTCAATCACGCAATTCGGTTTAACACCCCTAAATCGAATGCCATCGGAGCTGCAATTGACATCGACACTCACGGGAGGACGAAGAAGAAGAGAAAACCTAAACCTGGGTTTTTCGAAGAAATCAGCGATAAATGGTCTTCTCGAATCAGCCCCAAAAACAACAATTTTCCTTGGCAGACGAAACAGGAAGAGCAAATTCAACATCATGAAGAAGAAGACGAGGAAGAAGACGAATCAGAAGACAATCCATCTTCCGGTAAAAAAACCGATTCCAATCACCGATATTCGGCGAGTGACCCGTCGAGTTTCCCAAAGCCAAGCGGATACATGTCTGCTCCATGGGTCAATAATAATGGTTCAAAAGCAGTTAAATTTCCGTCTAGCTCCGACCAGGAAATTCGAGTTTCGAGTTTCGATAATGGTTTTACTGTAGATAGATATAGAAGGGATAACGATTTTGGCAATAGAGCTGTAGATTATAACACTAGAGAAGCAAGAGATTCAGAATTAGATGATGATGGTCACAGAGGCCAAAGAGGGATGATAGATTCAGGGAAAGACAAAGGAATATGGAGAAAGAAGAGAAGCAATACGATAGAAGCAGAGGGAACTGTACCAGAACATGAGCTGCAAAGGCTTAGGAATGTAGCTTTGAGAATGGTTGAGAGATTTAAAGTAGGTTCTGCAGGAATTACACAGGCGCTCGTCGAAGCCATTCACGAGAAATGGGAGGTTGATGAAGTGGTGAAGCTGAAATTTAGAGAGCCATGTTCTCTTAATATGAAGAGAACTCACGAAATTTTGGAGGTCAGATATGAATTTCTCAATAAAGGATTAGTCTTTACGCAGAATTTTGAGCAATGTGTTTTCTTTTTTGCTGTTGTTGTGGTGTAACAGAAGAAAACCGGGGGATTAGTGATATGGAGGTCAGGAAGCTCTCTCGTGCTGTACCGAGGAATAAGTTACAAGCTCAAGTGTGTTCAGTCGTTTATCAAACAGAACAATCTCGACACAAGCCCTGAGATCCGTCGAAGTGTAGATACAAGAAGGGATTACATACCAGAGGATGCGAATTACCCAAAGAATGTACCTAAAGAACAGTTATCTGAGCTATGCGAATTGAACGATTTGTTGGACGAGCTTGGTCCAAGGTTTCATGATTGGACAGGGTGTGCTCCGTTGCCTGTTGATGCAGACATGCTTCCTCCAATGGTTCTAGGATATAGGTGTCCGTTTAGGATTCTTCCGCAAGGAGTAAAACCTGTTCTGTCTAACACGGAAATGACAGAAATGCGTCGGCTCGCTAGGATAAGCCCACCACATTTTGCTCTTGGTATGCTTAAAATCTTCGAATCTTGCTTTCTTTTGATCATAAAAATCTTGGAATCTTGCTTTCTTTCTTGAGTAAACTGTTGTTTCTTTCTGTCCGGTTTAGGGAGGAGCAGAGAGTTGCAAGGTCTGGCAGTAGCAATGGTAAAGCTATGGGCAAAAAGTGCGATCGCGAAGATAGCAATCAAACGCGGTGTGGAAAACACGCGGAATGAGAGAATGGCAGAAGAACTTAAGGTTTGATGCAAGCATAAACTCGCATCTATATGCATTGATATTTTCTGTGTGCTCACTTGTCTTTTTTCTTTCTTATTCGTTATTGAAGAGACTTACCCGCGGTGTACTTGTTTCGAGAAACAAAGAGTACATTGTCTTTTACAGAGGCAATGACTTCATGCCTCCTGCAGTAGCAGAGGCATTGACCGAGAGGCAAAAGGAGATAACAGAAGTTCTTCAAACTAAAGAGGATCAAGTACGGGAAATGGCTTCAACAAGAGTCACACACACATCACAAGGCAAATCGCCTAAAACTCAATTGCTCGCTGGAACTCTTGCTGAGACTATAGCTGCAAGCTCTCGGTGGGCACCAGAGGCAAGCAGTGTGGATATCGAGGAGTTAAAGAGAGAATCAGCTTCGATCAAAAGAGCTGCGCTTATTAGAAATCTTAACGTGAGACTTGTTCATGTGAGTATCATTACCACCCTCTCATTGAGGAATCCCTTTTCTTTTCGTTTTGTATCCGTTTGCAAGCATTTGATGAACTTTCGTTTGCTATAGGCAAAGCAAAAGCTGAGAAGAGCTGAGAGGGCTCTAGCTAAAGTGCAGAAGGATCTTGACCCATCGGAACTCCCGACTGATTCAGAAATAATCACAGAAGAAGAGAGACTTCTTTTCCGAAAAATTGGTCTGAGTATGGATCCCTTTCTTCTTGTAGGTAAACACCAAGATTTTTCTCTTCTTTACAGATCACAATTTAAAGCCAAAACTAGAAGTACAAAAATACCATTTTTATAATTTCTTGAAAACGTTTAACAGGAAGACGAGAAGTGTATGATGGTACCATAGAGAATATGCATTTACACTGGAAACATAGAGAGCTCGTAAAGATAATTGTTAGAGGGAAATCTCTTCCGCAAGTGAAACATATCGCTATCTCTCTGGAGGCTGAGAGTAGAGGAGTGTTGGTATCCGTTGATAAAACCATGAAAGGCTATGCGATTATACTCTATCGCGGCAAGAATTATCAGATGCCATTTCGGCTTAGGCCTTCAAACTTATTGACAAGAAGAAAGGCTTTCGCTCGATCCATTGAGCTTCAAAGAAGAGAAGTAATAATGATCATAATAATAATTTTACGGTATAATTTTGTGTGGAAAGACTATATTTTTCTGATGCCAACATCGGTCTCTTTGTTTGTGACAGGCACTGAAGCATCATGTTGCGGACCTAGAGGAACGGATTGAGCTGTTGAAGACCGGACAGGTTTGATGAAGTTTTTGATTGCTTAATAATAATGGATCAATCTACTGGTGAATTAACAAAAGTGTCATGAAATGTAGGATGAGGATAGGGAAACCGGAATGAAAAGTGATGGGGAGGAAGAGAACTTGTATTTGAGAGTTGATGAATCTGATTTTTCTTCTGACGAGGTAAAATGAAATCCTTGTGAAGGTTCTTTCATAATTAGGATTTGAAAAAATTACTTTGGGAACTATGGCGTCTCTGAAATGGGATTTTGTGAATCAGGATGAATCTCTGGAATGGGAGTCAGAAAAGAATGAAACTTTCTTATTATCTGAGGAAGACGAAGAAGGAACTTGAACCAGTAAACAAATAAAACCTGTAGCAGAGTTTAATGATAAGAGGGTCAAATGACACCCTTAAAATTTTTAATATTCATGTTTAACCTTTTGTAATATAACATAACGACGGTAGTATGCTTTCTTGCATTGCATTGTATCTACTTAAATGATCTTTGGTAATCTTCAAACAGATAAGAATTTCCTCTAACGAAGAGGGTTAGATAAATAAGAAACAATTTCCATAAACACTATAGTTTAAGTACGTGATGCATAGGAAACATGCACATTAATAAGCCATTTTTTTATATATTAAAAGCACATTAATAATCCATGCAAACTAAAACGTTTCCGACTCCCTCATTAAAATATACATAGACATATGATATGACCAGAAGTGATACGATCGACGTACGTAGTTCGAGCTTACATATAACATATATTTTCATTCCAATAACAATCAAAGATGCGGAAACTCGTCATGTTTGTCTCGTCGTCTCATGTATTTGAAATAGCCATTCTTGTCGTCTTTTCTTATATATTTTTTTCAAGGGGCATCTTCTAGTAGTGGTCATGTTTTCCAAAAAATATATAATAGAATATATTTTAACTTCAAACAAAAAATATTTACCAAAAAATATGCGGAATTGATCTGGAGGTTTTAACACGCTTCTGCCGAGACACTCGTCATGATTGTCTCTTCGCCTCATGAATTTGTAAATAGCCATTAATGGTCGACTATCATATAGTTAATGTGGAGGTGCTCTCGAGGAAACATGAGACATGCAAACTGAAATGTGCCCTCTCCTTCATGCTACTGCCCTTTCTTGACCCTGGTGACCCATAGAAAATAATATAATAGTTTTTTATATTTTTTTTTTTGCAATTCTTAATTAATCGCAATAAATATGTAATGAAACACCTAAGCCTACATAAATTAATGAACGTATTCACATTTATATATGCAAACATACAATTTCAACATCACTTTAATTTAGTCATTTAAACAAAAATGTAACTATGATCAATATATGTAATACTAGTGTCGTTGTTTCTCCATGCAATTACGAATAATGTTTGACAAATTCCTAACTACATTTGTAAACATTTGTAAACAGTTCTCCCTCTCTTTTCAAGTAAATATCAACGTGTCAAAATATGATCGAGGTGACTCTCTCTCTCTTTTATTTTGATAAAGAAACTATGTACACTACCAAAAATCAAAATAATAACGAGGTGATTTGCCCTTTTTTTTTTACTTACTCAATCTCTCTGATCTCCATTGGAAATTCTAAAATGAACGGAAACGGCGGTCTTAGATCGTTCTCCAAAATTATGTCGCCACAGTCCAAGGCCATTGTGTACGAACGGCATGGCTCTCCCGATTCAGTCACCAGGTTCGATCTGTTTGTTCGTTGGTCGGTGTCCAAAAGAGCTTGCTTTTGAGACATTGAAATTAATAATCAGCTATCACTATTATAGATAAGCATCCTAAAATGTTTCTTTTGTGATTAATGAATGATATTTTTTTATGTCGACAAAAACCAAAAAATGAGGTTTCTATATAAAAAAAATTTTTAAGTAAAACTGAGCTTTGAGTGGTCTGAATTTAGCATGTTATTTTTATTGTTAAATTAATTTTTTTGAAGAAATTAGTAAAAAATAAACTTCATAATAGTTGAAAGTTTGAATAATAACTCACGTTTTATGATTTTAAATGAACTCTTTTGATACACATATATAATCTTCATATTTTCTTTCTTTTGGTGACGACGATAGAGTAGTGATGCTCCCTCCTGTGGAAGTGAGAGAAAACGATGTATGTGTTAAAATGATCGCCGCGCCAATAAATCCAGCTGATATCAATCAAATTGAAGGTTTGCTTGAATTGTCTTTTTTTTTTTTCTTTCTTTCTTTCACTCGTAAACGCAAAAGAGAATAATTAATAGTGCATTTGAAAAAAAAATCCAAACTTATATAATACCATAACTTATTTTTAGGTGTTTACCCTGGAAAAAAAATCCAAACTTATACTGATACCGAATATATTATTTTTAGGTGTTTACCCTGTGAGGCCACCATTACCAGCTGTTGGTGGTCAAGAAGGTGTTGGGGAAGTGTATGCAGTGGGGTCAAGGGTCAAGTCTCTTTCTCCTGGTGATTTTGTTATTCCATCTCCAATACTCTCTTCAGGTAAAATCTTTCTTTACTTGTCTTTCTAATAAGTACTAAAGACAACGAATATAAGAGCAATATTATAACTTTGATGAGAATGGCTCTAGAGAAGCTAGGGACTTGGCAGACGTATGTTGTGAAGGAGGAAGGTGTGTGGCAAAAAATTGACAAAATGTGTCCAATAGAGTATGCAGCTACCATTGCTGTTAATCCACTGACAGCTTTAAGGATGCTTGAGGACTTCGTCCTCTTAAATTCTGGTTTGGACTTCGTCTCTTTCGTTTTATTTTCTTTTCTTTTCTCTTTACTTATAACATGATTTGATTATTCTAACGAAGTTGAACAACACTCTAAACGTATATAAGTATTATATTTATAAAGTAAACCTCAAAAAACTCAATTAATAAATCATGCATAATCAAGTAATTAATTAGTAATCCTCTGAAGCAGGAGATTCAGTGGTACAGAATGGCGCCACGAGTACAGTCGGGCAATGTATCATCCAGTTAGCAAGACTCCGAGGCATCAGTAGCATCAACATTATTCGTGACAGGTGTTATATATATAGCTAGCTATATAGTGTGATTCGAAGTGTTGGCTCAAGTATATTATGTCATGAGCTATTGTTGTCTTTATAGGGCTGGATCAGATGAAGCCAAAGAGAAGCTAAAAGCCCTGGGTGCGAATAAAGTGTTTTTGGAGAGTCAGCTGAATGTAAAGAACGTTAAAAGTCTTTTGGTACGATTTAACTAGTCGATCATCAAGTTTGTATCATATAATAATGTATGCTTAAGATGTGTATGCTATATATAAAGGGGAATTTGCCTGAGCCTTCTCTGGGATTCAACTGCATCGGTGGCAATGCTGCCTCTCTCGTGCTCAAAAATCTGAGGTCCAGTGGACTTTTTCAATTTTTTGTTTATGCATGGTGTGTTTATCTTTTATTTTTTTGGTTACATGCATGAATATCGTGTAACATAAATATTCTAGGGAAGGAGGGACCATGGTTACATATGGTGCTATGTCTAAGAAGCCAATCAATGTGTCAACCACATCTTTCGTCTTCAAGGTATAGTCTAGTTCTAGTTCTCTCCCTATGAGTCAAACGTTTTTGTGTTCAAGATTTCTGTCTTGTGTGAGTTTGTTAAAGAGGTTGATCATCCTACAGGATCTTTCATTGAGAGGATTTTGGCTGCAAAGGTGGACGAGTTTGGATAAAGCAAAAGAATGCACAAAGATGATAGACTATCTCATTGGGCTTGTACGAGACGGCACGCTAAAATACGAGTGAGTCTTTTTCTCAAATAAAGATTCATCCATAAAATGTTTCTCGCTTGTTTGTCTGCGTTTAGGTTTACGCTTATATTTAAAAAACTGCGATTGAAACAATTAAGTAATATATGCGTTTATAAAAAATTGACTCCAACGTAATTTGAATCAACGGTCGGTTTGCTTATTACAGGACGGAACTGATTCCATTCGAAGATTTCAGTGCTGCTCTTGATAAAGCTCTTGGGAAGCGGGGTAGTCATCCTAAACAAGTCCTCAGATTCTGATCTCTCTGCTTGTTAATAAAAGGACGATATGCACTTAAGGTAGCTTTATAATAAATAATAATCCGATCGTCTCGATCTTGTCCAATGTATCAAAACAATAAGAGTGTAAACCAAATAAAACCTTAGAGACAATGCAAGCATCCATCATTATGCATGTTTATGTTTTATGTTATGTTAATGTGTCTCTCCTCCATATGATGTGATAATATATGGAGGAGAGACAGATGATAAGTGTCTTGAGAGCACCTCCAGCAGTAAATCATTCCCTTGAATTGTTAAAAATATTTTAAAAATATTTTATTCTTTAGAAAAATTGGAGTTTTAATTAAAAAAAATAATAATAAAATAAAATAAAATCTGGCTAATTACAAACGATCACGTCGCCTAACAACTCTACAGTTGGAGATGTTAACTAACAATTGGTTGTTAACTTTTGGACCATTTTTTATTTATTTTTTAATCCAAATTCATAGGTTTTTATTCCATAAATCTTTGATGAAGGTGCTCTGAGTTCTCTCCCTGAATTTACTTGATGATAACAGAAACAGAAACAGATGATAAGTGTCTCACTCAATCAAAGCCTACTCGATGTTCTGTTTTGTTTTTGTCTTCTCTGTGTACACGTTCTCAAGTAACTACAACAAAACAATATACGCTACACAAAAATCGTACTTTTACAAGCTCGAGATTAGCACATCACATGCTTTTTATGATTCTAAATTGACATAACGAACCTACTGTAATATGCATGGATTTCGACGTCGGATGAGATACGATTTGAGAAAATAAATTGATTGGGAGAAAATTCGGAGTAAGGGATTTGGAAATCGATTTGACGCTTTTAGATAGTAAACGACTAAACGCTTATTAGACGATTGTTAAGTTTGACTAATTAAATGCTTAAATTGACCAGGTCAACATGAGTATGTGTTTGAAGGCCTTTTAACAAAAAAAAAACAAAAAACATGAGTATGTGTTTAATTTGGCTCACGTGAAAACATTTCAGTTTTCATGGCTTCTGAAAGTGAAAGTTCCTACGCACACGGCACACGTGAGACGCACGGCACGTCGGCACGTGAAGTGAGGAAACAGAAACATGACGAGTGTCAAGGCTGCATGCTTTTTAATACTCATTCTGTTTTACTAATAAAGATTTATTATAGCTTTTCAACATCGTTTAGACAAAAAAAAAAAGTTTTTCAATATCGTATAAAAGAGTTTAAAAAGTTTATTTTAAAAATATTTAAAAACACCAAACTTAATATTTTTAGTGTAAAGACTAAAAACAAAAGGAGCTAATAAGACTTATGAAGTATATATAAAGAGCATGGGGAGGTAAAAATTTTATATCATACAAACAGAAACATGGCAAACCAAACTAAAGTAAGCACTTCTCTATTACTCGAAAAGAATCCAATCGAGCTTGTTAAACCTTCAAAACACACTCCTTGTGAAACTCTCTCCCTTTCTACTTTAGACCATGATCCTTCCAATGAAGCTATGTACGCATTTATTTACGTTTTTGAGGCGAACGAAAAAAAACAAAATGATCCGGTCTCTTTGCTTAGAAAGGCTTTGTCCGAAATTCTTGTGTACTATTATCCACTCTCAGGCAAGCTAATGAGAAGCAAAAGTGATCAAAAGTATCAGCTGGTTTGTAATGAGGAAGGAGTCCCTTTCACAGTTGCTACCGCAGATCGTGATCTCCGCTCTCTGAACTATATAGAAAACTTTGCTGATGAAGTTGCATTGCTGCTTGTGCATGAGCTCGAAGTTAATTTTGAAAGTGAGATTGGTTGCCATCCTCTCTCTCTACAGGTATCGATTTGTAATATTCTTACTATGTGATATATATATATATAGTTTCAGTCATAAGACCAAATTAACCGACCAAACTTTTGTTTGAAGCCACAAAATCTAATGAAAATCTAGTGACCCAAATTTTTGAAGGAGTAGCATCGTCCTTGTCAGATATCAAAATGTAAATTAGTAATCAAGAAAATTAATATCTTTTCCTTTTTGATTTTGACTTCTAAGGTGACCAAATTTCCTTGCGGTGGATTAACGATTGGCATAGCAGTGACACACGTTTTGTGTGATGGGCCCGGTGTCGCTACAGTATTTCAAGCTCTAACCGAGTTAGCTGGAGGAAAGAGCAAGCCATCGGTAATGCCGGTATGGCAAAGAGAACGATTAGTCGAGAAAATAGATGATAAACCGGCTAAATTACCAGGCGCTGCTGCTGCTAATGAAGGGCTGGTGGCCACATCACCGTATATGCCAAGCAGTGATATGGTATGTTTATTCACATCAATTTGGATCATTAAAGCTAAGTAAGCCATTATTTGTCAAAATCATTTCCTTGTGAGAAGATGGATACTGAGGATACGTATTTGGGGAAAAAAAGTAATAGTACTAAATTGTAGTCAGACATAGAGAATAGTACTGATTATTAGGCTTATAATATATATTTTTTTAATAAAAATATCATTGGTTTTGTTCAGATAAACACGAGATTTGATATCATTCAAAAAATAACTAGACAATGGAAATTGGAAACACAATATATGTAGTATTTACAAAATGGCCATCGAATCTTATGTATTATTTTAGGAAAATGAGTATGGATTTTTTTTAATTGGGTAAAGAAATATATTAAGTGGTAACTCTATAATTAAGTGAAATCAAAGAATCGAAATTTTCTTCTTTTTGTGTAATTCAATAGAAAACTAGGTTGTTTAAACAATTTTTTCATCTTTTCATACGTGATCCCCAGGTTACAGAGACGGTAAATATTAGGGCTGAAAATATTAAAAAGCTTAAAGAAACTTTGGTAGCTGAGGGGAGTTTCACTAGTTTTGAAGTTATTTGTGCTTACATATGGAAATCAACATCAAGAGCCTTAAAGCTAAACCTTGATGGAATCACTATCCTCACAATAACTGTCGGAATCGGACATGTTTTAGACCCACCACTCCCCAAGGGATACTATGGTAATGCTTACACAGTAGCCGACATTGAGATAACTGCGAGAGAGCTCGAGGAATCATCGATCTCTGACATTGTAAAGCTCGTGAAAAGAGCTAAAGAAACAGCTCTTGACAAGAGGTGCATCGAGGAGGAGCTGAGGAATATGGAGAGAATAGTGAAAGAGGATGCAAAATTCAAAGGAGTAAGCGATGGTTTATTGTTATTGACAGATATGAGAAATACCGGTTTATACAGATCAACGGATTTCGGTTGGAGCGAGCCCGTGAATATATGGCCGGTCACGCCTGATCAGGAGGTCCCAGTCAACATTGGGATTATCATGAGACCTTCCAAGTTGGATCCATCAATGGAAGGTGGGGCTAAAGTTGTCATGACATTGCCAAGAGATGCAATGGTTAATCTCAGGAAAGAGATGGTTGATATGAATTAACTTTCTTTTGTGTAAAATTTATTCATGAGTGAATGTGAATGCTTACATGCTTATATAATGTAATAAATATGTGAGTTTTTACCTTATCTGTAATAAATAATCAGTTTACGATCACGTTAATGCTTTCTTTTTTTGTTAAAGAACGTTAATGCTTTCTTCTTATATGATTTCAAAATATAACCAATGTAATCACAATGTTAAGCTTCATTAATAACATGGGAGTACATATAGTTGGGAAAAAAAAAAGATGAAATCCACTATGAAAATTTTTATTGTTATTGAACGAATTTTTTTTTACAAGTGGATCTTAGGATAGTAGCGTTGTTAAAGTCTTTTCAAACAGTTGTGTTATAGATTTTATAAGGAAGAATTAAGGGAAAGAACCGAAAATCCTTTATTAATTCGTTTGTTAAAGTCCTTCTCAACGTAAATTGAACCCTTAACCTCCTAGATTCCTACATATTTTATAACCCGAAATACGAACCACTAAGCCATTTTGTTGTTAGTGTCCATTGTCCAATTATACATAGACATGTGACCAGAACTATGTGGTATTTAAACAAACAAACAAAAAAATTGACGTAAATAAAAATTTCTTAGAAAACAATAGTAGGCTGTGACTAAGGTTTTGTTGTTGCATGTTGTGACTTGTGAAGCATATGCATTATATGCGTTTCAAGTTAAAGCCATGCAAACTGAAATGTGTCCACTCCTCATTAAATAATGCATAGTCCATAGACATGACAATAGAAAATTTTCAATTCCAATATTAACTAAAAAAGATGCGGGACTGATCTGGAGGTTTTAACATCATGCAAGCGGGACACTCGTCATGATTGTCTCGTCGTCTCATTCGTTTGTTATAGCCATTGTTGTCGTTTTTTTCTTTTATTGATGGTTGACTATCATATAGTTAATGTGGAGGAACTCTCGAGGAAGCATAAGACATGCAGATTGAAATGTGTCCATTCTAATACTGCATGTCCATTCTGATCCAAGGTGAGCCATAGAAAAATCAAACGTCATGAAAAAGATTTTAACAAACAAATTCTAATCCAATTCTGCCACATCAATGTTGCCTTTGTTTTATGAATTGCTTTCCATAAACTTTTGTTCTAAATTCAAAAAAATATATATTAAAAATGGAAGTCATGAAAGAAAATATTGTAAAAATTGATCGAATCTTGCTTAAACATCATATCTTTGAAGTTTTAGAAAGTTTTTTATATATTACCTTGAATACAGTTAATCCCATGCCTAAATATTTTTTATTATACATACATGAATTGGTAAGACGGCAAACAAAAGTAAACTCAGCCCTTTTCTGTTCCTCGAAAAAAAGCCAATCGAGCCTTCCTGAATCCTGATCTACCCAAAAGCAAAGCAGGTGTTACGTTTTGGTTCGAGTTATTGCTATAATTTTCATGCAAAAAGCAGGTGTTACCTTTGAGAATGTCTTTCTCTCAACTAAGTGAAAGATGTACTTGTAAGTTGTAATGGTACTAAAACATGAGACTTTAATCCATAAAAAAACAGAGGTATCAGTGAGTCATTGCTGCTGGTAAGTAGTGGTAACTAGTATTGGGCTTTTTAAACCCATGTCCAACTCTTCTAATTAGTATGATATTGTCTGCTTTGGGCCCAACTGACAAAGTCCGCACGTATTTGATTTTGTGCTCCTTTCCAAAAGGCCTCATACTAATTGAAGTTGGACATTACTTATATACTAGACCATATTGGTCTAAACTTCGGATGTGGGACTTTGGATTGATTTCCAACAATTTCCCCCTCAAGCCAAAGACCCTATAACTCTTGATCTTCAACTTACAGCGATACTTAGTACCATCTTGTACTTCTTAATCGCAATGTCACTTTAAGGGTTTTTCTCCCACACCGAATATTCAGTCCAATCCAACTTCTCCAGGTCCACTTTTTCTTGACCTAGGCTCTGATACCATTTATTGGGTTGGACATTACTTATATACTAGACCATATTGGTCTAAACTTCGGATGTGGGACTTTGGATTGAATTAATAAAAGCAACTTCTTTTATTAGCTTTAGAAAAATTACTCAAAAACTAAAGCCTCTCTTAATCTCTCTCTCTCAACTCATAAGTATTTGCAACAACTCTGCAACTCCTTATATAGAGAATGAATTAGCTAACTCCTAATTCCAATAGATAAACAAATTTCTTTTAGATAACTCCTAAATTTCCTTTTAGATAACTCCTAAATTTCCTTTTCTAATCATAACCTTCTAGAAACACACTTTGATTAGGATTAGGAAACTTGCACTTCAAGTTTCTTCCAAGCTTATTCCAACAATCTCCCCCTTAAGCTTGAAATCTTCCTTAGAGACATCTTCAACACCAAAACTGAGACCACGCAAATACCTCAAAACCTGCTTTAATGCAGCTCCATGCGACTCCTCCATGATTACTTTATATAAACGATTCTTTGATCTGTTTGCCTTCATAAGGAGTCTTCCATCTTGATCATGTAATGTCAGATAATCTCCTCTCATCCGAACATCACATCCAGCCTCTGTTTCAACAGTCTCCCAGACCTTGTGTACTCTGAGCAAAACCCTCATCCGCATGGCCCATACGGTATAGTTGGTTGAGTTTAACATAGGGCAATGGATTGAGGAAGTATTCAGTGCTTTTGTACGAGTACTAGGAATGATATCCCCCATATCTTGAGCAACAAGCTGAAGCTCTGATACCATTTATTGGGCTTTTTAAACCCATGTCCAACTCTTCTAATTAGTATGATATTATCTGCTTTGGGCCCAACTGACAAAGTCCGCACGTATTTGATTTTGTGCTCCTTTCCAAAAGACCTCATACTAATTGAAGTTAGACATTACTTATATACTAGACTATATTGGTCTAAACTTCGGATGTGTGACTTTGGATTGATTTCCAACAGGGCATATGTCGCTACCACAAGCAACGCGAAAACGAAGAGGACATTTATTTAGTATTTATACGTCTAAACTTTGCTCTATAAACATCATACGGAGATTTTATATTATACAATCGGAAAAGCGATGGCAAAAGAAACAAGACCGATCCTTCCTCTTTTACTCGAAAAGAAACCAGTTGAGCTTGTTAAACCCTCAAAACACATTCCTTCTGAAATTCTCTCCCTTTCTACTTTAGACAACGATTGTTACAATGAAGAAATGTGCGCAACGATTCACGTTTACAAAGCCAATGAAAAGAACCAAAATGATCCTGTCCTTTTGCTTAGGAAGGCTTTGTCCGAATTTCTTGTGTACTATTATCCGCTTTCTGGAAAGCTAATGAGACGAGAGAGTGATCGGAAACTTCAGATCGCTTTTCTTGGTGAGGGAGTTCCATTTGAGGCAGCTACTGCATCTCTCGACCTCTCCTCTCTAAACTACATGGAATACGTTGATGAACAAATTGCTTTGCGCCTTGTGCCTGAAATCGAAATAGACTACGAAAGCAACGTTTGTTATCATCCACTAGCTTTACAGGTAGCTTTTCATTTTCTTGATATATATATTGGAACATTATAGAAATTTTTTTTTCCTACTCAAAAAAAGAAAAGAAAATTAAGATTAGAACATCTCCATAAACACTTCAGGTTTTTTCATAGAATTTTATATTCATGGTAATGTGAACACACACACACACACCTAATTAATAATTTTAGATAACCGATAGTTCCCTTTGATTATTATTTATTATTTTTTTTTTTGAAGGTGACCAAGTTTGCGTGCGGAGGATTCACCATGGGCATCGCATTGACGCACGTCGTGTGTGATGGATTCGGTGCGGCTCAGGTCATCCGTGCTTTAACCGATTTGGCTGCAGGAAAGAGCGAGCCATCGGTAATTCCGGTGTGGCAGAGAGAGCTGTTGGTCGGAAAAATTGATAATGAACCGGCCAAAGTGCATGGCAGCCACATTGCTGGTCTTTTGGCCACCTCACCATATTTCCCAACTACTGATATGGTATGTTTTTTTTTCCCTTTTTTGGTCTATTGTATGTTGTTCTCCCATTAACTCCAACAATCTAGCCGAAAAAAAAATAATAATAACTCCAACAATCTTTTGATTTATATATTTTGTAATTATACATACAGTTAAGAAGACAAAAATAAATATAATTGATGTTTTCAAAATCTACACCTTGCAAATAAGAATTACAATTAATTTCAGTAGTAAGTGCTTGTAAATTTGTAATTAATTAATTTTATAGAAGAGAAAGAGAAAGAGAGAGAGAGATGTATAAAAACATAATATACTACCTTTTCTTTTGCGAAAACATAATATACTACCTAAAATGATGATTTGTACCCAAAACAAAAAAAAAAAAGCTAAAAATGATCTCATTTTATTTAATACTCAACAGGTAACAGAGATAATAAACATTCCGGCTGCGAATATAAAGAGGCTGAAAGACTCATTGATGAGAGAGTCAGAGTTCCTTAAAGAGAATTTCACTACTTATGAAGTACTTAGTTCTTGTATGTGGAAAGCAAGATCTCGAGCCTTAAAACTAAACCCTGATGGTTTCACTGTCCTTGGCACAGCTGTTTCATTCCGACATGTTATAGACCCGCCACTTCCTCAAGGATTCTACGGTAACGCATACGTAGACGTCTATATCGAGTTAACCGTGAGAGAACTCGAAGAAGCATCCATCTCTGACATCGCGCAGCGTGTGAAGGAATCCAAGAAAACAGCCTATGACAAGGCGTATCGCGAGGAAGAGCTAAAGAACATGGAGAGGTTGATGAGAGATGATGTGAAATTCGAAGGGGAAAGAGATGGAATATTGTTGTTGTCGGATTGGAGGAATACAGGATTGTTCGAATCAACGGATTTTGGTTGGAATGAGCCTGTGAATCTTGTGCCGTTGACCGAGCGGAGGAGTGCAGAGCATACATGGCTTATCATGAGACCACCGAAATTGGATCCATCAATGGAAGGTGGAGTTAGAGTGATCATTACGATGCCGAGAGATGCAATAGTTGAATTCAAGCAAGAGATGGATAGTATGATTATGAACAAACTTTATCTTGGTGATACTAATTAATTTATTTAGTAGTTATTTTGTGTGTGAATGAATGTTTCCAAGCAAATGTGATGAAACATGATCAATTAAAAATAATAATAATAATAAAAAAGAAACATGATCAATAATGGAGAATAAATGTATGCTTAAATATGCTCATGTTGTATGCTTTTTCGGCTCTGTTCTTTTATATGATACAGTTATCTTTATATGTAAAAGTTAAATGGTATTCTAATAGAATAAAATACACGATTCTTACAGAAAAAAAAAATATACACAATTCATAGATGATGTGTTGGATACTTATACAGTTATACTTTCATAGCCATTCAAATTGAAATGTGTCAGCAGTACGCGATTCTTATCATATGGTGTGTTGGCTACATTTACTTTCATAAGCCATGCAAACGGAAATGTGTCAACTCTTTCGACTTTCATGCATGTTACTGTTTGTTTTTTTTTTCGACACGAGCCACATGAAACAAAAAAAAAAAAAAAATCGGTATCCTGTCAGTTAATTAATTATTGATGGATTTTAGAACAACCCAAAAGCTTATGACATGTGCTTAAGAATTTCATTAAACATAGTATAGTTTCAAATGAACTACTATATATGCAACATGCATATAAATTACAACTCTGTTAACAAATTAATACTTCAATATAGTATAAAAAAGCATCAAGAAGAGAGAGGATGATCTAATATTATACATTCATAAAATTGATAAAAATGGTAAATCAAACCAACTCCAGCCTTCCTCTATCACTCCAGAAAAAATCAACTGAGGTTGTTATACCGTCAAAACACACTCCTTCTGGAAATCTTTCCCTTTCTAGTTTAGACAACAACCCTCTCAACGAAGCCAGGCACGCACTTGTTTACGTTTTTGAAGCAAATGAGAAGAACCAAAATGATCCGGTGTCTTTGCTTAGGAAGGCTTTGTCCGAACTTCTTGTGTACTATTATCCACTTTCAGGCAGGCTAGTGACACTAAAAAGTGATCGAAAGTTTGAGCTGGTTTGTAATGGAGAGGGAGTCCCATTTACGGTCGCTACCGCAGCTCCTGACCTCCGCTCTCTAAACTATATACAAGACTTTGTTGATGAATTTGCATTGCATCTTGTGCCTGAGATCGAGTTTAACTATGAAAGTGAGATCGGTTATCCTCCTCTCGCTATGCAGGTATATATCGTTTAATTTTCTTTCTTGGGGTAACAAAACTCATATTAGATATCATCAAATTCTAAATTAACAAAAATCGTTCTCTTTGAATTTCGAAGGTGACCAAGTTTCCTTGCGGTGGATTCACCATTGGCACATCATCGTTACACGCGGTGTGCGATGGAGCCGGTGTGGCTAGGTTTATTCACTCTCTAGCCGAGTTGGCCGGTGGAAAGAGCGAGCCATCGGTAGTGCCAGTATGGCAGAGAGAGCGGCTAGTAATGAACATAGACAATGAACCGGCTAGAGTTCCTGCGGGTGCCGGTGCTAGATCAAGTCTTTTGGCCACTTCACCGTATATGCCAAGTAGTGATTTGGTATGTTTATAAATCTTTTCTTTTTTGGTATAGGTAAAGAATCATTTGATCAAACAACAACATAAAACTGGTAATTTCGAGAATGTAATAGTATATTTTACAAGTATCACCTAAGAATTAAAAAATTTGTATTTAGAGTAAAGCTTCTTTAATTCTAATAATTTTATTATATGAGCTAGAGTTATGAAACAAAAAAAAATCACATTTTAAGAAGTGAGAAATGCTGAATTGTCACTGAAAGTGATATCTTTACGAAAATTCATTATTATTATTTTCTTTTTTTTTTGCTGAGGTCCAATAGACATATGATTTAAGAAAATTTCTCATTTGTGTACATATTTACGATCCACAGGTTACGGAGATAATAAGCATTAAGGCTGGGAATATAAGAATGCTTAAAGCTGCTTTGGTTAGGGAATGTGAATTCCAGAAGGAGAATTATACTACTTACGAAATTCTTAGTGCGTGCTTATGGAAATCAAGATCTCGAGCACTAAACCTAGATCTTGACAAGATAACTGTTCTTGGCATAATTGTGGGAATCGGACACGTTCTTGATCCGCCACTGTCCGAGGGTTACTACGGAAACTCAATCATAGACGTGTACATCGAGTTAACCACAAGAGAGCTCCATGAAGCATCAATTTCTGACATTGTAAAACTCGTGAAGAGAGCCAAGAAAAAAGCTTATGACAGGAGGTATGTCGAGGAGGTGCTAAGAAACACCGAAAGAATGATTAAGGAGGATGTGAAATTCGGCGACGTGATCGATGGATCATTGTTCATGACCGATATGAGAAATGTTGGGGTTTTTGGATCGATGGATTTTGGTTGGAACGAGCCTGTCAATCTGAGGGGTCTGATGTTTGAAGAAAGCGCCAAAAACATGGGGATGATCTTGAGACCATCCAAGCTAGATCCAGCAATGGAAGGTGGGGTTAGAGTGGTAATGACATTTCCGAGAGATGCAATGGTTAAGTTCAAGCAAGAAATGGATGATATGATGCATCTTCGTTCTCGCTTTTGATCTTGTCCCTTGTATATAGACTGTCGCCCTCACTTTTGTTGTTTTCCTCTCTTTTTTTTTTATAGAGTCAATTGTGCGTATTCTCAAACGATATAATATAAGAAGCCATGTATCTGGTAACATATTTTAACATTCTACGAAGACAAAAACAGATGAGCTTTTTATGGTAAGATTTTGAAGCTACTCTTGAACATTCTGTATACGGCTAACTGAATCAGATTCGGAATCTAGTGGAGCATTTTGTAAACTACGTCCTTTTAACCATGGGATTATCCGAAAAAAGGTGGCAACCATCCATGCAAATAGAATCAGAATTTAGTGAAAGATCATTTTATTAAAATTTAGATAGGGAAAGGCAACGAACCACATTCCCAACGTGAAAGAAAAAATGTGACAAGAAAGAGAATCACAAATGGACTGAAAATAATTGTATAGGCCGTAATAAAACCTAAAATCTCTATAGAAACTATGATTTGTAAATCTGAACTTGTACCAATCTATACAGTGTACGAATTAAAAAGACTATACACTATATGGAGACGAAAACTATGGATATTATATTGATTCACCATTATTTAGCATAGAGACTCTCTCAAAAAAAATAAAAAATGAAAGCGTCATTTACGAATCCATCTCCGGATCTCATTGGTTAACGTCACATGACTTCAGACTACAAATTATTGGAAAAAGAAAATAATGGAGACTAACCGTTGTTTAGTACCACCTGGTTAAATCTCATAAGCCGTTTCATAATCATAAACCGTTTAAAATTAAAAAGGAAGATTAGTACATCATATGATATCAACACGGAGGCAGGAGCCAATTGGAGAAGAAAACTGAGACATGTTGACTATTTCGAAGTGTTTACTATGAAATACGGATATTGCTCATACTTCTCAATATTTGACTTAAAAATCATTTAAAAAAAAAAAACGGATGTGGTGGGAAGTCAACGGTCAACGTGTCAACCGGAACAGACAAAAGGCATGATTCACTCATAGCCTAAAGTCACCGCGTCATTTATTTATACGTTACTTCAAAATACTGATGATGCACTTGACAAGTGCCAATCAAAAATCCGAATCTAACCTAAAATGTGGAAGCTTAGTTTTGAGTTATGCAGATGACATAGAGCTTCCAACATAGAAAGGTCCACATTTAGAGAGACAAACATAATTATGTGAGTTTTTTTTTTTTAAGAATAAAGAAAATAACAAACACGCATCATATAATCTCATTTTCTAAATTTCACTCTTAGTTTTTATACATTTTTCAAAATATCAAATTAGGAAAAAGTATCTAAATTTGACCTAAATATGTAGTTTTACGGTATGTCTTAATGTCGTTATGTTACCTAGATGAATAATTTTGTTCACAAAAGATAGGAGAAATTTTTTTAGATGTTAAACAATATAAACTAAACTTGACCGATCTTATAGCCAAAACCCAAATATCTATCTACCTTTGGGTAGAAACTATAAACTTTTAAAAATTTCAAATAAAGAAAAAAAAATCTGTAAGTAAAATATTATTATATACATATATCTACCTTATTCTTTTTTTTTTTGGTTGGACATCATATCTACCTCATACCTAGCTAATGCTATCTTGTGGTAAAATAATAATAATAATAATTCAATGAACAAAATACAAAAAAAAAACACATAAAACAAAGAACCTGGCATCAAATTTCTTTTGGTAAAAAAATAAAAAGAGGAAGCATAATTTTGTATATAACGCTTCTTCTTTTTTTCATTCGCTTTCAAGTTTTTTTGGGGGTATATCGCAGATCAGAATCGTAGCAGTGTTGGTCCGTGAATCCATCCTTCTCGCAGTGCCCTACCAATCCATCGTCATCGCGTTCTATCTAAAATTACCAATTTACCACTTCCAAGAAACTTCTTGTCCTCTTTTAGAAACGTGTTTTTTCTTTCCTTTCCTCAGAAGTACCAAACTTAGAGAGACGGGAAAGGCAGTCTAAATCAATATTAAAAATATGAATATTCCCAAAAAAAAAACGTCAATTAAAAACAAAGGCAAACAAGACACACCAACCATGTTTCCTTACCGCGTAGATCTTTAAAAAAATGCAGAATAAAGCTTTAATATCATTTTTATTATTAGACTCTGCCATTAATTTAATATAATACTGTCTTATCTTGTGTAGCGGGTTTTCTCTTTAATTTAAGCATATACTGTATAATCAAACAAGTCCCAAATTAGTCAGCCATTATAGTTATCTT